ATATAACTGCAATCTACAGTTTAACCCAAGTCTCAAATGCAGAAATATTAGTTGATATACTCAAGTGCCGTTAATGCCAATTAATCAGCATTCAAGCTTAGCCCGGCTGGCTTCACGCAATTCTGGGATTGCCTGGTTCTTTTCTAAAACGCTTTGGCAAATTAGATGGATCGGTCCGATCTGCAGGGGGAGTGAGTTGTGAATATATTAGGCTCTTGAGGGGAAAATCTTGGGTTGGGATATATATATACGCACGGATGATATATTGTTGATTTCAGAAGAGCTGTTGATTGGTTGTTACAGGCCCGGAGATACATAAAAGTTTGTATCTATATGTGGGGGTTAGATTAATTATCACGGTAGAGCGGGACACGCTAAACAAAGAATACGAATATCAAATAGTGAGGATGAGTGGGAGTTATACATATGTGTAGATAAATGAGAGTGCTATATCGAGGCTTGGTAGTAGTTACAATGCCGGAAAATGGGGTGTGATTAGAGTAGTAGTAGTCTTGTAGTGATGCGGCTTTTATGAGCATTAAGCTTGCTCATTTGGCTCGGGTTAATTCGGTATTCATATGAATACTATAATTACAAACAAAGGTTATTTCATGCAAATACGCTATCCCAAAAGCACGGTATGCTCAAAAAAGCCATACCAATACTGCTAGCTAGTTCAGCCTAGTTGGTCACACAATTGAGTTCTGTGACCGCGCTAGTATCAGGGTATGACACTAGGCTAGACCTACTACATGATACATGCTAGACCTACTATACACATGTACGCGTACCTACATGTAGTCTCATACTCACAAACCTCCTACATGTATATACATACATGTAGACTCATCCCGCAAATCCTCGAAGGAATTACCAAATTCAAGTTGTAGTTCTATCTTGAAGTTGATTTCAACCTCAACATACTAGTACACATGTACAAGAGGAACCTTCAGAACACCTACTACTTGTATTATTTTTCAATTGTATATCGGAGACCTGCTAGTTTCCAGACACCTACTATGCTTTTGGATATTTTGGTATTTTAATGGTATATTAAAGGCGTACTGGTACGGCTTTTCCTAAAACCCCGCTTCTTTCCAAAAAGCAGCTTGTGACCAAAATGACCCTTTTTGAAGAACACCAGTTCTCTATATGTTAAAAAAAAGTGCTTCTATAGAAATACATTTCTTTGAAAAGTCTGTGTCTTTGTTATTATGGTTTTACTACGTCACTTTTAAACCTGCAAAACTTGTACGGCTCTAATCACATCCGGGTTTCCCGTATTGTATACATGTACTGGAAGTTGCGGCTGGGACATATCCATAACACGGATGTAGATGCAGTGTAAGAACTTTATCCCAAAGAGCATCTCTAAACAATACCCATCCCAGCGCACCTCAACTCCCGAAGCATAATAAGCTACGAATATACCAGGGGATCGTAAAAATGTCATAATCAAAAGAAAAAATGCCGTACACCGCGCGGGACTATATCCATGAATCCGCAGATCTACAACAGTAACAGTCCCAGAAACGGGGCCTTGGGTCAAATAGCGCATAAGTGGGGGGACCCGGAACCATATAACGGGATATCTAGAAAGTTATTATAAGCTAGGACCCCTTTCTGTCCCTGCATGTACATACAGTCGCAACTCGATATGCCGGATCTCAATACGCCGGATCCCTTGCTATCCTGTACGAGGTCCTCTGGGGTTTTGGTTTTTTTTTACTGCAAAATCAATTTGCTATCCCGGATTTTTTGCTATCCCGTATGAAATCTTTTGAATCTTGGCAATCCGGCGTATCGAGTTGCGACTGTATATGTGCATGTATGGAGCTGGAAAAGAAGAAGCCGTGTAGCCGCGCCATAAAGCAAGTTTAATGTATGGCCTGGTTACACATGAGATCCCGGTGTTCCTGGAGGGCTTGAGGCCGAGAGATGAGCTGCAGAGCCGGAGTATACTATTTGGACTTAAGTTTACGGGGCTGGTAGTATGGGGCGCCGTCGGATCTTGTGTTTGTTGTCAGGAGCTCGAGGGTTCATGATCCGCAGCCTATTCGTATTCGGTGCGAGCGGGACCACCATAAGCCGTTGACAGGATCTGGAGTAGGTCTCCAGGTGAATTTATTGGCTATCGCCAGCAATTTGTGATCCTCTCTACAGGCATAGTTAGTGTTAGCGGGAATAAGATCTGCGAGTGTAGTCCTTGTTTAATTAGCTGCCCAACATTCACGCGCTGGGACAAGTGAAAAATTGTGATATATTCTAGGAGTAAGCCCCAGGCATATCGTTAGTAATCTATATAGATCATATCTTTTGTTCCACTTCATATTCCTCTGGTCTCATGTACACTACCAGAGAGTACTAGAGTGTCTACACTAAAATTTATAAACACGTAAACGTACAATATGTACATCTATAGCTATACATAGTTCAATCCCCCCCCCCCCCCCCCCCACTATGGAATCAGTCCCTTTTTGTAGTAGACGTTGCTCGGCTTTACGCTTTCGAAGAGACACTCAAACGGTCTATCTTTTTCTTTCCCCTCTTCCCTTTTACTTTTTCATCCAGCGTTCTAGGTTTGCGATTTAAGGCTGTGCACAATCGCATTTGCGCATTCTCTGCGTCCTTGTATCCCAACACTTTGAGAGTCGCCATTCTTACCCCTCTCTCGATCAACAGCTATTATAGCTACTAGCCAAAGCTTGAATACAAAGTACATCTTCTACGATATGACGACGAACGCAACACAAATCACAAGGCATCACTCGTATCGAACTTTACTGACGTTGGGTGGAAGATCAACGTTCACTGATGCCCGCACCGCCACTCATATTATCCACACTCTACTACTACTACATTTATGTAAAGCAAATTGTAGAATCCAACCGAAGATAATAAAAAAATAGCTCAACCTTACAAGACCATAGTATCTATATCAAGAGCCTAATGTTTGTCACTTGGAATGAGATGTAGAACTTGTCTGCTGATCACCAGTATAGGGATGAAGCCGATTAAATAAAATCGATAGTTCTCCGGTGCTATTAGGAAGTCTTCTGCATGCCCCGAATGTCGGAGAAAATTCTACAAGCGACCCCTCTGTATAAAGTTTCCTATGTAAATTTGGCTTAATGATTATTCAGCGACCAATTAATACTAACTAACTACACGTATTCTATAAATCATGACATTGGCATAGAGCCCTGAGTATCTGGCGTGTAGCCTTCAGAATAAGAGGTGAAATCACACCAACACTGTTTCATCGATTCTGGTTCGGTGCTTCGCTAATCATAGAGTATGACCCGGTTAGAAAGTAGAAGTAATCTCCCAACCACAGGAACATTCGGGTCTGGCCAGCTTACTGGAACCTACAGTAGTTATTAGTTGGTGATCAGATTCCTTCGTTTGTCCTGCGTTCCACTCACTTTTAGCGAGAAGATATCCACCAGGCTAGCTGCCAAAATAGTAGATCAAGATATCCGTTGATGGATCAGGGTGCCTAGCTGCTCGGCCACAGTGCCACAGTGCTTGAAAACAGAGGAAGGGATGATAGCGAAACAAATTCACCGATACGGTAACTGAGTTGCTGTTTCGCCTCCTGGTTAGGTAATCACTGGGCCGTATGACTCCCTAATAATTGCTCAATCTATAAATCCGTGCTACATCCATGGGCTTAGAAACGCCTTTAAGTATCAAATTTCTTAAGTATTATGGGTTGTCAAAATTATCCGGACGTTCGCGTCGCAACCACACAGATTAGCTAGAATGACCGATTTTGAAACCACTTCAATTGACTTCATATTGAAGCTTAAGATAATAGAGGTATAAGAAATCACAGAAATCAAATCTCTTGTACTCTTTCCTTGTGGTTGTGGAAAAAGGCGACGTTGAAATTGAAAATTTGGTTGCAACAATGTTCGGATAATTTTGTCAACCTGCAATACCTAAATGTACACATCCCACCATCCATGGACAAAGTCTATATTAATAAGTTTTAGTCGTGCCTGAATTACAAGCGGAGGAAGTCGAGTGAGCCCAGTAGTGATGACTCATTCATATCATCATGTCCCAGTCTCTATTGCCCGCCCAACCTTGAAGGATACTCTACTATACCAGTGTAGGTACCTGGATTTTATTGTCCGTGATGCGTTGTGTCCATGGGTTGTCTCAGGCGATCTCAGAGTGAGTTCAGTCCAACTGGTACTCTAGAGTACAGCGATTCACAGTCATTTGGCGAATACACCCCTTTGGCGAACAGGGATTAAGGCCAATAAGAATCAAGATATCTTAGTCAAACTCGAGGTTTTACTGGTTGTTGGTTGGTTGCTACATACAAATTCGCCAAATGGGTGTATTCGCCAAATGCCTGTGAGTCGCTGTATGTGTACTCTATGTATTTACCTAGAGCATGTACTCCAGATGCTGTTGGATGTCTGCTCTATGACGATAGCTTGGGGAGGTTGGTAGACGAGAAGAACTGTCTTACAATGCTCCACAAGGGTTCGACAATATCCGATCGGGGTATCGTAACCAATCATCACGAGTTGAGTTGCATGCATAGATAACTACCTGCAGCCAAATCAGGGGAACCTTCCCGTACTACTCGGGGCAGGCAATAAGAACCTGAAAATGCAAGCAGGTGCTCAATTTGGTGTAGCTTTTCGCCAGCCGCGAATCAGAGGTTGTTACCATCAAAAGTCATTTTCAGTGATAGTGGGATGGCCGCAACGCAGGCACAAGTCTGGGCATTTCGGCATGAGCCGCCCTGAATGATGTGCAGTTATAGCTACGTATATGTTATCCGGATTGTCTACATATATCTCCCTATCTTCGTCTTATCTTCTACCTTCCTCCCTTCCTCCCTTCCTCCCTTCCTCCCTTCCATCTTGTCTTCTCGTACTTCCTTCCTTCTCTACTTAAAGTACTACCACTATCACCGTCACTACTATTACAGTTATACAGATCTTGAAATATCCCGATATCTCTAAATACCAAGCATCATGCGTAACCTCGGCAACTCTAACATCCACACCCAAACTCTTCGTGAACAAAACTGGGAGGCTGGTGATCTTTCTGTAATCTTCCCCCTGGTGATTATAACTGTTTCTCGGTTTTCACTAACCTTCAGCTTCATAGCCACTTGTCCACCTCACCGTTGGTTCACCGGCCATCACAATGCCAGCCTCAGTTCCCGTCCCCAGGCCTGTGAATGTCTTACGAACAGGACCAAGCAAGTCCTCGGAGATCGTACCTGACGATTACTCGCAACCTTTCCTAGACTTTATCAATAAGAACCCTACAGTTTTCCATGCTGTTGAATTCTTTGCCGGCCGCCTTGAATCTGCCGGGTTTTCAAAACTTTCTGAACGCGATTCGTGGAGTTCCAAGCTGAAGCGTGGTGGAAAGTACTACACCACCCGAAACGGCTCGGCTTTGATGGCCTTTACTATCCCCACCGGTTACGCGCCTGGAAACGGTGCAGGAATTGTTGTGGGCCACATTGACGCGCTCACGGCTAAACTGAAGCCGGTATCTAAGAAGCCGGATTCCCACGGCTATGTTCAGCTCGGTGTCGCGCCTTATGCAGGGGCTCTCAACTCCACATGGTGGGACAGGGACTTGGGCGTTGGTGGTAGAGTCATCGTGAAGAACTCTCAGGGAAAGATTGAATCCAAGCTGGTCAAACTGGATTATCCTATTGCTAGGATCCCAACGTTAGCGCCACATTTCGGGATTAGTGGCCCATTCAACAAGGAGACGCAGATGGTGCCAATTGTTGGTCTCGAAAGCCCCGAAGATAAGAGCTCGGAATTTCCCGAAGGCAGCTTTGCAAGGACTCAGCCCCCTCGCCTTGTAAAGGCTATTGCGAAAGAGCTTGGCATTTCAAACTGTCCATCCATCATAAATTGGGAGCTTGAGCTTTTCGATACCCAGCCTGGTCAACTCGGCGGTCTCTCAAAGGAGCTTCTCTTTGCCCCTAGAATTGATGACAAGCTCTGCTCATATTCTGCTCTGGAGGCCCTTATCTTTGCAACGTCTTCCAAGGAGGATCTTACAGGTTCCACGATCAACCTTGTTGGGCTTTTCGATGATGAGGAGATCGGTAGTAAGTTGAGGCAAGGTGCTGCCAGTAACTTGATGAGCAGCGTCATTGAACGCGTGGTCGAGGCGTTCTCTGAATCCGGAAAGGCTGGCGCAAACGTGATTTCTCAAACATATGCCAACAGTTTCATGATTTCGGCAGATGTAACGCATGCTGTTAATCCCAACGTATGTTTGTTTTAATACATCCTGATTGTCGAATCATTAGCTAACTTATGAACCCTCTATTAGTTCCTCAATGCTTACCTTACCGACCACATGCCACAGTTGAATGTCGGCCTAACAATCGGTGCTGACAGCAATGGGCACTTGACCACAGAGTAAGAAATACCTTCCGTAGCTGTAGTTTCCTATAGTTTACCTAGAGCTAACCGGTTCTCAGCGCTGTATCTACCGCTTTCTTGGCCAGAGTCGCCGAAAAGAGTGGAAACAAGTTGCAAGTATTCCAAATCAGGAATGACACAAGGAGTGGTGGTACTGTTGGGCCGATGTTGAGTAGTGCCACTGGTATCAGGTCAATTGACGCAGGCCTTGCACAACTGTCAATGCACAGTATCAGAGCCACATGTGGAAGCAAGGATCCCGGACTAGGCGTTAAGATCTTTGCCGCATTTTTCGAATATTTCGAGGAGGTTGACAAGGAGTTTGCAGAATAGTTTATCTTTCGGGACATGACTTGGGTATTTGGCTAGTAGGAATACTTTCCAGCCCTTTTTAATAACTTATGTACTATTAAGGCATGGATAATTATGGGGTACGATGACTATGCATTGCTTATTTCAGAAGCATTAGAACGCTTAAATAGAATACTTGTTTTGAGTTCTGATCACATAGGGATGACGAAGGAGGCGCGCGCAATGTGCTCTAGGGCCTGTTTATGAGCGGGGTCTTGTGGAAAGCATCGCTTTGCTCAATCTTCAATAGGAGAGAACGGAGGAATTCAAAATGCCGTTTTAAATTTGTGTACAATATCATCTGAGAGTAGATGTCGTGGTAAACACTTTGTAGTAACTTATTTGCTCGGCGGAGTCTATCCAGAACAGGGTTCTAGCGACCATAACTCTATTTCGGACGGCTCCGAGGCGGAACCTTAATATCGACGGTACCTACATACTCTCTGCGGGTCAACGCATTAAAGAATAACGGGCTACATTCATGCCTAAAACTATTGTTCTCCGCAATTTCATGCCTAGTTAGACTGGTGCCTGCTGTAAGCATATCCCAGAAAACTTCACAAAATCAAGGGAACAATACTCAAAACGGCTTCATCGGGGAATCTCATTTATAAGTTAAAATTTCTCAAACCATCTCTTCATCCCTTACGGCTTCATGCGTCTCTTTAGTGACTGATCATATCGAGTGATAGTTTGTGATTGCATGATTTTCTTTTTTGTTTAATCCAGTGATTTCATGATTCGTTTCCATGGAAGTGTCTAATATTCACCCAATAGTTGGGTCAGGGGCTTCACCTGGATCGTCTATTACTCTCCTCAGTCTATCATCCTCTTTAGAAATCTTGCTAGCCTTGGACCCATACTACCTCTGCAGTGACACGTTCTTCTCCGTACCGAGTGATAATTTATGAATACATTCTTCTTTTTCTTTTTTTTGGTTTAATTCATATGAATACATTCGTCAAATGTCCCACCAGCACAATACGTAACATAATCCAAACTACATCAACCCCACCGCAGCTAGCAAGCATCGGTCATCCAGGTATCGGGCGTCCATCCCTACATGTATCTTTTTTTGAGGCGCCATTCTTTACTACACATTATGAATTGCATTTTCTCCTATACACACGCCTCCTAAATAACTAAATAAAACAAAAATAATCGCTACACACTAACCAAAATCTCATTTAAACAGGAAGGTGGAAAACAAAACGAAAGAAATACATTAAAAATTACTCAAAGATTCATTCACTACAGCCCTTTCATCCTCAATCAATGCTCGTCGTACTTCTAAACATCTGTCTTCTCCTATCCGTCTCTTGATTCCACTCTCGATCCCTCACATCCTCATCCATCGTCAGATAGCCATCAGTTATCGATGAGAAGCGATTACTGTAGCGCCTCCACATGCTATTATCCACCGTAACCATGCTCATCTCCCGGTCTTCTTCCTCAGCCTCGAATATTGATCGCGGGTTGGGGCTCATCATTGCCGTTGGTGGCTGATGGTCACCATCGTCGTCCTGGTTTTGGTATCGTCCTACTACAGATGACATGATAGAAGAGGAGGTCCTCCCTCTTGCTTTTCCGGCAAAGAAACCGACGGGCGAAAAGTTGTTTTCGGCACGGGTATCCATGCTATAGAAGTTCACCATGGATAGCGTGGGCGAGTAGGTGCTCTCGTGCATCTTCCGTAACGAGCCTGTCGGGGGTAAATCCACCACATCATTGCACTCAGAGATTAGTAGGCCTACATTAGACTGGAGTGGAAAATCATACTCGCTTTGTGAGAAAGCGGTACGTGTCGGCGTTGGCGGTATCACTTGTGGGTATGCAGGCTGGAAGGTATCCGAGATTACGAATCTCGGACGGGTTGGGAGTGAACAGGAAAAATGGCGAGTCGACATCTCTTGAATGGTCGGAGACTTAGTTTCAATACCTGGGGCATCGAGGAAGACATCGTGATATGCTGATTCAGATACATTTACAGAGGAAGAAGAAGTCGAAGCAGAGAGAGACGAAGATCGAGTGATCAGTGGTGATAGTAGAATACCAATCTTTCGAGCTGGCGGCTTTGATGGAATAGAGAGGTCCGAGGCTTCTACAGGTAGCGTCTTTGACTCTGAGTCTTCACAGTTGATTTTTTTACGATGAGAAGGAGACGTTAGACCCGATGGCGGCAAGTCATCACAAGAATGACCTAACGAGCTGTCGATTCTCAAACCCCCACCACCAGCCTTTCGCGGTGTACTGTGGTTACTATACTCTAGAATTGATGAACTGGTGGAGCTGACACTAGAAATCGAAGCACCATCATCATCTTCGGTGACACTGCTGAAGCGACATCTCGTATTATAGTTTTGCTTCGGCAATGAAGGAATTGGTGCTGTTGGGCAGCACCGTGGCCCCTGAAAACTTTGCAAAGTACCAGAATATCGTATTAAAGGTCTTGGAGGAGGTTGCGGCGCCCCCTTCATATCTTGGATAGTGTAGGAATCCGAGAAAGAACGACGACTGCTAACACCTGGGAGAAAAGAGTATACACTTGTACAAGTCACTGTGCCATGGTATTCATTAAGCTCGTTCGTAGATATTATTGAATTCAAGCGAGATGGTGGAACTGGTGATCTCTGAAGCATGTGTTGCTGATGGTGAGACGCCGAGAGGAGATACGGCGGTAGCGGAGACAATGCTGATATAAATACGGGTGAAGGTGGTATGGATGAGTATGATGAGTATATAGATGCACGATCAGCACCCAAAGTAGGAGACGAGAAAGAGCGGAGGGGTGTCCTATAGCCTGGAGGGATTGGACGCTCGAGCACATCGTCGTCGGACGGATCATGGATCTGCGCTGCTGCTCCTATGCGGAGAACACTCCTTGATCGTGAAGGCTGAACAAATGATGCTGGATGAGGCGGCAGATTCATGAACGATTGATCACAGAAAACCTGGTCCTTCCAAGTGATGTGCTTGTTCCCCCTTCCTTTACAACTATTATTCCTGCAAATATGGTTCGACGATTTGAGACTTGACGGCTGCAATGACAGTGCTGGCAATACTGGTGGTTTCTGTGATAGTGGCATCTCCTTACTAGTACCAGTATTGGGTTCAAAACTACATGAAGCTGTCATGGAATCTCCAAACTTGGAACTCTCTCGGCCACTGATGGAGTTTTGGCGATGACGGCCGATACGGCGTCGACGACAGTACAAGAGGATACCCATAGAAAGGGCCGCAACAATTGCTATCGCACCGCCTGTTGCTAATCCGGCGATAACAATTGGTGATAATGGACGCCCATCTCCTCCAGCTCCACCATCTTCTCCCATTATCCCCAGAGTACTGTGGTTATAAGCTGTCGGAGTATGTCTTGGCGCTGGTACTAATGTTGTATATGCCGAAACGGCGGCACCCTGGGCTTCTGGAGAAAATGGCCTACCGGTTGGCTGGCTTTCCCGGAATACAAACACCGAGTCGCTGCTAGCGTGATGGGCTACCATGGTTGATGCTATTTTATATCTTGGTACAGGGACTCGAGTGTGGTAGGTAAAGGTTCTTTATGGAGTGCCGGATTACTTAGAAGAATGAGTTATATACTTTATCTGAGATTGTATATGTTGGTGATTCATTCATCTATATACCAACCAATCTGTCTATACGTCCTATTAGTGCTGGGTCAGCTGACAGTTAATCATGGGTATTCACCTCCGATGATTAATAGGATGCAAAGTGGATAATAAAGAGTGCAATTTACTGTTTTAGTATCTATAGATCTAGGGGAAAAAAAGAACTCGCAAAAACTTGTCAAAAGGAACGACTGATCACGACAAATGAGTGTGGTATTTCCAAACAAGAAGCAGCGGAGAAAGGACTGTGGGTTGTTGGCGATCAAGGTTGCAACTTTTGTCGATTATGGGACTAATGACGGAGAGAGGGCCAAATATGAGTACAAATATAATAATAATAACAGGGATATAGAGAGGACCAAAATGTACTCCTCGAGACGTCTCATTAGGGTAGGACACGTGACAACTACTACGGAAATTTATATCTACCTACCTTCCCACACTGAAAAAGCTGATCATCTGCTCAGCCAGTAGATTATCTAGGAGAAAATGCACATACACGTCACATCTTTAATCTTAAGGGAGGTTAACCTCGTTCCTTGGGTGCTACAAGACAAGTGCTAATTCCTTTGTAGGTAAGGGTTTTCGAGCAATTGACTCGCAATTCCATGCAAGAATGTGAATGTGCTAGGATGAAGTCAGCATTGGGTAGGGAATGGCTTTTTCTATTTAACAAGTTGAATTCCATTTCCTAACCAATTGGATAGCACTCAGCGTTCTAAGCTATAACTCGATTGGCTCATACATAATCTCCAACTGTCTGAAGTTTGAAAAGCAAAAAAAAAAAAAGCATATTACAGAAACAATCACAAACGAAAGACAGAGCAAACAACACACTAGGCTCATGAGATGACCACACTCTACCGTTAGCTCGGGCAGCACAAACTCCGATCCCACATGTTCTGGTAATTAAGCAAGCATTGCGGAATCTCGGGGGATCCGGCTTTTGTATTTCAAAGCATGTGCATGCTTGTGGTGACCCCCGAGTATCAAAAAGTGAGTTGAATGGCCGGCCCTTGCTTATCACGTTACGGCTGTTTGCATATCAGGCATAAAGGGAGGAGTATGCCGATCGCCTAAGCATTGAGTAGCTACATACATGTAGTTACAACATCATGCTACAAGCCTTTTTTCTTTCAATTTCAGCGAGGCTTGTTACCGGAAACTTCATGCTGCTAGCCTTGAACCATCCCAACGACGTCGTATTTTACTGGAATAGGAAAGCAATTTATCCTATAGCATTTGTACTATGATGTACATACACACTTAATACGAACGGTGATACGTAGATCCCATCCCTTGCATTCTTTTCTCTCTTGGTCACATGTCCCAAAAATTCCGACACAAGTCTAAATATATGTACAACAATGCACATCTTGGCCCAACAAATATCATAGAGTATAAATATCGAAGATGAAGATGATATTTTTTCATTCCGACACGGCATCGAAATTCAAAACCTTCTTAAATTCCCTCTGAAATAAGGGGTGATGATAATACTCACCACTGTGTTTTGATCTCCATTTATAAAATTTCTGTATATACGAGGGAATTACATAGGTAACTTCCCTTAATACATGCAGCCTATTTTATAGGAGCTCAACCTATGTTTCTGCAGTTAGAGAGGCTTGCTTACCTTAGAAATTAAACTGTACATATCATGCATGGGTGTTCTAAGGCCATATAATTGGCATTGGTTGACTTCCCATAGGTATTCTGACTGTAACTAGACCGATTTCACTCCCGAAGATTTAAAAGAAAATGGAATCTAGGAGTTACCTGCTCTTTCCTAGACTATCTGAGGCATATAAACCTGCATAAATATCTTTCATAAAGTTTGGTTAACTATATAGCTTTTATCTAGGTCATCTATCGCTATAATTATGGAACTTCTTAGGTACACATTTATATCAAACTCTAGTGAAATGAAATATCTAAGAGACGATACACATGATATCAAGGCGCCTTTAGCTAGTGGGGTAATAGTGATATACAAAATAGAGGTAAAACTATCAGTACAAAGAAAGACCTGTAGATCCGCTACCCTGTACAGACATGAAAACACCACTTACAGCACCACATAATTTTTAGTCCAGCAGGGTTCCTATTTCTCTTACCAGGAACCCATGCCCTTATTGCCTTTCAACGCTTCGTGTTGGCCAATGGACTCATCAATTGCTTCCAAATCCTCACCCCAAGTCCTTTTCAAATCGAGCACCCAGGACTTTCCTCCCGCAGTATCTTGATCCTTTGGGATACCGGTGCATCCCCAGAATATAAATTTCTTGACGTTTTCAAAACCTAAAACGGGTGTTGAAATAGGTGTTGAGTCGTTGAGCTCGTTCATGGTTCCAGGAGCTTCAGCGAGGAGGTTGGTGATCTCATCATTGGATGATTTGAAGGCAGTGAACCACTCCCAATGGATATCCCAAAAGCCGAGGAAAAGATATGTCAACTTTGGGAAATCCACGCCGTGCATACCTCTCAACGGCACCGGTATAAGTTGTGGAAGAGGTGCATGGAATTTGCCATTGCCTGTCAAACGATTGGTATTGTTAACCGCTGCTACCAGATGCCTTTGGAGGCCCATTCAAAATATAACTTACCTTTGCCACGTTCCTTGAAAGTTTCCTGCCCGCGACTAAGCTCCAATCGCTCTAAGGTTTCTCTACTTCCCTTGAGTAGGCTCCAAATATAGGCAGCATGAATATCTTCAAAGGCTTTGACTTGATGCTTTTTGGTTTGTTCGCAAATACTGCCGCATCCAAAATACTTTAACCTTGACATAGGGACCCACGAAATATCGACATAATTTGGTGTTCTATACTTATACTTGGCCCCTTCAAATGCCGCCGCCATCCCCTCAACCCCAGGTTTTGCCGGTCCATCAGCATAATTTCTGATCCATTCGGATTCATTGGCGCAAACACATTGAATAAAAAGCTCCTCGACCTCTGGAAACCATTTCCCAAAGTCTTTAAGATCATCCCAACAAATCATAGTTTTCGATCCTGAGAAACTCATATGGGTTAATCTATTATCTCCAACGAGCCTGCTCCCTTCAATATTTCTAAGTTGGCCGTGTAAGCACGATAGAGATCTTAGAGCTTTAATATCCCAGGCTCCACCCTCCATTCTCAACTTTTTCAAGTTAGGCATGAGTGATAGAACTTGTTTAATGGTTTGCTCCGGATCAACCTTCGTGTGTGTCACATCAGTAAGAGAAAATACTGTGATTTTATCGGCCCATAAGCGTTTTACTGTGCCTAAGATAGCCGCGAGACTGAGCTTTTTCCCAGAGATATGGAGCGAAGTAAGGCCAAATTGTTTCCCTTTTATCAGCAGCTCAATGACTTCGTTGATGACTCCTATGTCATAATTTGCTGTATCAATGCTGAAATAACGGATAGAGGTCTCTGGTAAGGTGCGGATTAGACGTATAAATCCGTCGGGGCTCAATTCTTGATTCTTAAGCTCGATGACCATTTTATTCCAAAGAATAGGTTCGGACATCAACGCGCGAAACGACTTGCAAACAGAAAGAATAAATTTGAGCGCAGTTCCTAGCGGTAGGAATGTAACAATATGAATCAGGACTGTGAGAATGTAAAACGGAACCGTCAGCTTTGACCCAAGAAACAAAGATGATTGGAAGGTTTAGGTCAACGTACGCTCTAAGGGCAGGTTTTTAAATGCCCCGACATTGCTAGCTTCATTCAAGCCCATGCTCATAGGATAAATGTCTTTATTAAACACAATCTTTCTGCCATTTTTGTTGCATCTTTTTAACAAGGCACTTCTGACAAGTCCCCCACTTGGTATAATTCCAGAGGCAGAATTATCATCCAGTAAGTTGGTAATACCTTCCTCGGCAAGTGCTAGCTCCAGGACGCACTCCTCTAGGTCCTTTCTGGTAAGCGCGAATGCAAGTTTCTCGACATCGGAAGCATAGGTTTGCAAAGCTTCACTCAGGGGGCCACGTTGGTCAGCATCTTCGTTGAAGCCACCCAAAATATTAGGACTATAATCCAAGTAGCCGACTCCAATTTCGCTTGTACGAGCACGTTTGACCCTTGGCGACTCCATTGGAGATACTGGAGTTCTGATGATTGATAGACGACGATACCCATGGCGGTGTGCCTTTGCAGTCTCAAGAGGTGTAAGGTTATCCGGGGTCATACTATAGACACCATTTCCTTGATTTTCAATGCGTTTGTTAGCTGGGGTGAAAGGATCAGATGTCATAGCTGTCTGTAGAGGCGGAGGTGGCATATTATAACAAAGTGCCATCATAAGCCGACTATCCGTCGCGTCAAGGTTAGTCATGTCTGGTAGCTCCATCATAACATTTGGTCGTTGATGTTGATCCGCCACGTCCAGGTTGGCGACTTCCGGTAATCCTATCATAGTGTCTGATTGTTGTTGTTGTTGTTGCTGAATTTCTGGCAAACCTTGGTTCTCTTCCGCAAAGATATTACTGTCCTGGGAACCTTCATGATTATAATTGGGGTATTGTGCAAAGCCTTGGTTGATACTGGGATCAAATGCCTGCATCACGAACTCTGGTACAGGGGTCGAGGAAGTTTCTCCCAGCGGCGATGACTTCTGCTGCGGTTGAATGGTACCTCCAATCTCTAAATTGGCCCCTTCTAGTCCATTTTGAGGTGTATTCGTCTTTCTCTTGTTTTCGACTTTTAGCTGCAACGAAAGAATTTCTAATTGTAACTTTTGATTCTCATTCTGCAAGACCAAAGCATCAACTTGTCGCTTTTGTAACTCATTGAATTTCACCATCCAGTTATTATCTCCAATAGGAAGATCAGTCATGGTTGCAGAGGTTTAGGGAACTACATAGAGAGTTAGTTGGTATTATAAAAAACGATAGAGAGGTTAGTGCGGGTATAAATCTTTTGGCGGATGGAGGGAGAGATGTGTAAAAATGATAAGGGAATGTATCGATGAGAAGCTCGACGAAAGCTTGATAAAAGATTAGGTAGATAGTTGTATCTACAGTAACGGATTGAGGGAGTGGGATAAGTTGAGTAATAGAGCAGTAGACATACCAGAATATGGGCCCAGGGAAATATAACTTGCCAGACCCAAAGGACAGTCAAGTCAATGTTTATTTTGATGAAGGTGGACTTTGATTGGGCGGGAGAGGTGTGTTTGCGCGGAGTGGGGCGTTAGTTGAGGAGTTGGTTGGCTGGTGGATTAATTCTTGCCCCTGTGCCGAGAGTGTGCTCTTTTCCGAGGGCTCGATCTACTCTCTAGGGTTAGGTCTTCTTACTGACCTTTTCTCCTTAGGCCCTCAGCTGCACCCACATCACATACCCCACACACCATACTTTAAGCTTCCCTAAGGATTACATGTAGGTAAAACCCCCTGAGGGCCTGCTCTACATAGGTGCAAACGGTCTAGCCACCTTTAGTCTTTCGACGCAGAGAACCTTTAGTTATACGTTGCGTATTCCCTCTTATTCCCTAGTGACATTAACCACGCGAATTTATCCCTTCATCTTGTTATATCATGCAGATACATTTTATTTTTGGCTCATATCTATGCCCCCAAACGAATGCCGTTTACGTCGAGTGATATGTGGTGACTGTCATGGGATGCCTCAATATGGCAGTATATCTTCTGATCTATAGTCTTTGGGTTTATGAATCGCTGTAGAGAGATGCGTTGCTTGAGCCGTTATTTCTACTGTTGTAAATACATGTATGTACCCTGAAACAAGAATTGCGTGGCCAACCAGCCTACAGAAAAGGAAACATGTACAAAGCCTAAACCTGAAACAAAATGCTGCGAGCCTTTCAGCGCTAAAAATGCGAGCACTCGAGAGTAAATTGCCCGGCAAATTCATAGTTATGATCACAGTTCTTTTCAGGATCATCGAATATCACTCGTTACCACACAAAGGCTCATGCTCTATCTAGAGAGTCCCTAGGACAAGATCATATCTGAAAAATATTGTCGACGGCATCTAGGGAAAGTGGGAGTGGAAAAGCAAAGGCTAAGGGACAATTTTTTCATGGAAGTGGTACTTTAGCTACGTAATGAATACTAAGCCCTGTATAAAGGGATGATGGTTTAACGGAAAAGGAGGCAAAGAAAATCTTAATTACCCCAGATCAGAATGCAGCGAAGGAAAACAAGGTGTTGGTACAGTTTTATGGGAATACGCATTTGAACGCCTTCGGATAAAAATTATACGCGGCAGATTCCCAAACGCCCCTTCAATATATGGATAAAAATATACACGCTAAATCAACACCCATCGCTTGTCCCTCTCCCTATCACCAACTCTAGCTGCAACCCTGTTAAGCGTTTGTTTAATTGATTCTTTCCCAATCTTTGGAAATTGTTTCTTCAAAACTTCAATCAATCCCGCCTTAGTCATATCACTACCCTCAACCGCACGCTTAAAATCATCAAGGTCCTCAGCAGGAACTAGCAAAACACTTTTACCCTTCTTGGGTGTTAGTGCCTCTGCGCCTATAGCCACAGTTGTTACTTGAGGTCGATTTGAGGTAGCAAGGGGAAGAGGAGGCGGTTCCATAGCAGTTGGTACAGATGCTTTCGATGTGCAGGGCTTTGGTACTGAGGATTTTGGCGCCGATGCAGAAACAAGGAAACTGGTCAAAGTCTTGGCATTTTTCGGTGGTGGATTCCAATAGACCGTTGAAAACGGATCAATAGGACCAGATACACCCTCTATGATGATAGGTTAGTAAGAATTCATAGTTGCAGCCAAGATAAACTCACCAAGAAGTACTTCCATCTTCATCTCTTCAAACTCTGCCCTCGTGTTCCGACCATCCTCATCCTCCCAACAGAGGCCCGAAGATAACGGCACTAGAGCGGCCAAAGCACCTCGCCTGTTTTTAGCTGCCTGGTCCTCTTCATCGTCCAAAAAGCCATCCATTTCGTCATCCAAGCTTTCTACTTCCTCATCTTCTTCACCATCATCACTCAATAAGTCCTCACCATCCTCGTCTTGTGCGCCTTCTTCCCATTCTGCCTCTGAATCATAATCATAATTAATATTCGGCAAGGTCTTTTGGAACGGATTGCGTCCTTTGCGGAGACCACCGGTAGTAGGATTCCTAGTGAATGTCCCGGAGTAGGGCGGTCGTACATCTTCCGCAAATTTCAAGAACTTATTAGGTAAACAATTAAGCATCTTAAAGTAGATTGCTGTGCCATCTGCTCCTTTAGGTATTTTCTGCTTCTTTAGCTCGATTATTGGGGGCAGCGATGAGTCGTCTGGGGCATTTATCCTAGCTAGAAGGTCTTTGGTTGTATAGCCCAACATCTTTCCTCGCGGGCCACGCTTATGCGGCGGAATATGAAGTAGTTCTGTTATCTGTTCTTTTGTTACTGTTCCAACTGCCGGTACTGTCTCCATCTGATTCTCCGCGCAATTATGTTCTCTCGGGAGAGTCAGGGCTTTATCAATCGAAACCTTCATCGCAAACTTATAGGCATCGTCACGCTGGAAGCAGTGTGGTGGCGCGACTGTCACATTAGGTTTTACAAAGAACGGTTGGAAGCTTTTCTCATAATCGCTCTGCCTCTGTCGTATCTCCAGCTCCGGTGACATTGTTTTTGGGCACGCTCCCGGGGGTGCTGCCGTAGCCTTTGCCGGACTACTTGGAGGGCCAGAAGGCTTCACAAAGAAGTTTTGGAGTCGAGTTTGAGCCTGTCAGTGTAATCAGCGGTAAATTCGCGAATATATTTCCAGACCGAAATTTATCATACCCTATCCTTTTTAGCCTTTTCCTCATCTTTTTTTTTCTTCTCGTCATCTTTTTTCTTCTTTTCTTCATCTTTTTTCTTTTTTTCCTCGTCTCTAATTCGTTTCTTTTCATCTCGCTCGGCTTTCTATAATGGCCCGCTGGGTTAATATTTGCTTATGTACCTATAAGCTGTTGTAGAAGCTTACCTTTACAGCCTTTTCTTCCTCTTTCGCAGCCCTTTCTTTCTCTTTGGCCTCTTTTTCCTTCTCCTTGGCTTCTTTCGCCTTTCTTCTCTCTTCCATCTCTGCCTCGGTCATTTTCGTCTTTTTCTTAGCGGGACCCTTGCCATCTCCGCCGCCGTCGACCGTAGCGGGAGCTGTCGGCTCATCTGCTGCTACTTCTGACCGAGCTCTCTTCTTCGATCCCTCTTCCGATGAGCTTGCTGGAGAGGCATCTTTTATGACTGCTGGGGATAAGGTGGCATGCAATTCTGAAGTTGAAGGAGGAGGATGGGTTGTAGTTGACGACGCGCTCATGCCTAGTGTGATTACTTAGCGAGTTCTTTCGTGTCGTGTGCTTCGTAAAACGTTATCCCCCAGGAAGAGCTGCTTGTCTGACTACTCCTTTTTTTTATTCTGGGATTGATGAATGGTATGATAATGGTGTGCGACTGGGAATTGGGGAGGTTGTGAACCGCTGAATGGTGGGAAACGTGTTTGAACGCGGCAGGCGTTACCTTGCAAGGTCTGAAGACGCGTTGAACCCGCCAAGAAAGAAAAGTATGTAGATCCTCATGACTACATGTACGAACCATGTACTACTACTACGAACGACGCCCCCAATCGTGAGCGACAGGGCTTTATTACACCACAGTATTATACAGTGGAGTCCCGATAGTAGCAACCTCGATAATAGCATATCCTCGATAGTAGCATATGTTTGGGCAATCCCAAACGAGTCGGTACGGGCAAAGTTGTTCTCGATACAAGCATATCCTCGATAGTGGCACACGAAAATCCGTTCCCGACCATATGCTATTATCGAGACTCCACTGTAATACTACTCGCCCTTGGCGCAATGCACACTTTCTTCAAATATATCAAACTCCTTAAACCTCTTTTAGCTTGTTCTTCGGGATTGCACTCTAATCGGGATTTTCGTCCGTCCGTCGGTCGCGTAGAAATCCAATCGTATTGTTTTCTTTCCTTTAAATTTATTAACCTCTAAAGCATGGAGTACATATATTTATGAGTCCGTTCTAGTCTATGCAGCGTCAGTCTACAAAGCGAAGACCTACATACCTACAAGTATGTAAACTAGTCTGTATCAAGGAAAGCATACAAACATCTCTTGACAGTACCATAACTTAAAAAGGTTAGGCATATTCAGTAAATATATCTCTAGATCTTATTCCCACTCATATATTTGTTCCACTCCTCTCTTCACTAGCTAAGGATATATTAAGGTCAATCATTATACGCAGGACTAGCGGTATTTAAGTACGCTAATTACAACCTTCTATAATTTCAAGCAGCCATCACTCCTTCTACCGACTCATTTTCACCCAGGTTCGTGACGGTGTGCTCCTATGTTTATCTGCTGATATAAACTATAACCAGAAATATATGGCACGATAGTTTAGGCTAGCTTATCCATCTAACAATAACTCACGACTCTTAAGTGCCTTCCTTGGTGCATAGAAGCTTCAACGTATGCCCCCACGGTATCTAGGAAGCGCCACATCAGCACATAGTAGAAATCAATTCTCGATGCCAATTGAGAGCCTACGGCACTCCTTCAACGGGCGCCTGCCATTGTTAAGTCATTGTCGAAGCCGGGCTGGAACGGGAGCAGGATATAGACAACTCCCCCGGCCTTTAATGTCACCTCGGGTGGGGTACTTGGAGAAGAGTCTCGTTATGTGCGCTAGAGGATCTTTTCGAAAGAATGAAATAGCATGGTCCTTTGTAAAAAGGGGAGGGAAAAAAAAGTACAACCAATGAAATATATCTTCGAGTTCCGGGAACCACGCTGCACGCTGCACGCCGTCAATCCGGCTCGGGATAAGCTGAGATGAGGAGAGAAAGGAAAGTTAGCGAAGGAAATTTTTCTAGAAATGGGAGAGCCCGCTGACAGGTCTTCAGACAAGGTCTTGTGAAGGATGACTCAGCCGAGTGAGATTATATGATTCATACACATATCGATGAGCATCCAGGCAGAAGATTTTGAAATATCACAGCTCTTCTTCCAGGATAGTGCTATTAGTATCACCACAAAGGTGAATGGTTAATATAGTCGATGGGAATCTCATGCGGGGATAGGCGGGGAGGATACGGCGTGTCGACATCTCATACGTGTCTTAAAGTAGCCTCCAGAAAAGAAGATAATACATGTATTATAGTATCGGTGGGGAAGAGGCCCTAAGCCACCGGCTACGTTCATGTAGTAGACCTGTGATAATGCGGAGTCGTCGAGATCACTGCTAGATGGCCGAGTATTGCCAAGGTGGAGGATCAGATAAGACCAAAACCAGGAAATTTCGCCAGGCCGAATCCAGAGATTTGGTGTTATACTAGCTTATGCGTCATTAGGCTATTGAGGGTTGTAACTTGTAGGTTGTAGGGCTAGGTGTTTCCGTTGTCTTGGCGTCGACCTCTTAGGAATCTCGTCCATGCTTGACCGTTAAGGTACAGGAGGTATAGGGACTCCGGAACATAGGTATTTGAAACATAGCTCTATGATTCAAGACGCTAGTTAAGGCGATGCTACTCTAGAGTTAAAGAGAATCTCCGAGTCGAGTGATAACCTATGATCAAGCGTATTTTAATACCGTCTGGAGCAACCTACCGCGAAAGAACCATATTCTAAGATACCCGCCCCAGAGGTAACGAGCGAGAATACATTCCAAAAACTGAGAGCCAGTTCCGATCAAGATGACATGACATCAGATCAGAAAAGTTAAAAAGTTAATCGCCTCGCCGCTTCCGTTCAGCCACACAGACTAGTTAAGTGATTCCCTCGACCATGTTTCACTCCACTTCCTTCTGGAAGATGGTAACCATGGTAACGTCCACATATGCAAACCGAAGGACAGGGGTTTCCAACTGTGTGGGCAGATGGTAGAGGGGCTACCTGTGCTGTGCATGCCTCACGACCAGATGTCATCTGCTAGCGGCAGGAACAGTTATCTCAGACCTATCATAGGATTCGTTTTGAGACGTTGCCTCACAAGGCGCGGCGGGGTAAAACACATGCCATGTCTGACTCCGTACCAAGGGGAGCGATGTGCATATATCATAAGCAGAGGACGATCACAACGCTAGAGAACAGAGAGCACCTGGTGTATGTTACTCTGACTTACAAAGGTCATGTAGCTCCAGGAATGTTTCCAAGTTGAGGGAATAATATATAGCCCTTCATCTCTTTGTTCGGTGCAGTGCGAAAAAAAAAAAAAATTACACAATCGGATTGTTTGCACTTTCCGTGGAGAGTGAAGCTTTTGGTATCATCCACCGTTGCTGCTGCTACATGTAGCTACATATCATATCATAGCGGCTTGGTGTGTGCCACGTGGTGTGGTTCCTGTGATTGCTCGCCGATCTTGAAAGGGAAATGATAATTATACAGGTTTTTTTTGTGTGAGTTAAGTGGGTCGCATGGACATTTGCAAAACTCTGTTCAAGAAATCTAAGACACTCGTAACCTCAATAGTCAGATCTGAAGCCTATGCGTCATTAAGTCATATTTCACCAGAAAGGCATATGCACCAAAAGTTTCTAGACATGAATCACTTCTTGCCTACATGTATTCTCTCAAAATTTGAGCACAAGTATGTACATATGTAACAGGTGTTGTTATGCGTCTACTACCCCCCTTTATGGACAGATGGTGGGTAGGAAAGATAACTATGAATGATAGTACGCTAAAGATATCTAGCAATGTAGCGGGAATCTCCCAGAGCCCAGAAAGTCTCAGACCAAGACAAAAAGAAAAAGGATAGTCAACGAAAGTATTTCTCCAAACATCGTCACACCAGCGCTCACGAAAAGAAAAAAGGACAAATAAAATGGTTGTAAAAACGAATGTCAAGAGTTGTAAGTAGCGAAACACCAGACAGAAACAAAAAGCCCCCCTTCCCCTCATCAAAAAAAAAGAAAGAAAAAAAAAAAAAAAAAAACAGAGAGGAAAAGTCAACAAAATAAAAAAGCCAGTAAACACCCTAGAACCCCAATATTTGAAGAACCCCCGGCCCCACCCTGACCCCCCGACCCCATGAAATGAGAATAGACAAAAGTAAAATGCAACCAGCGAAAGACATAGATACAGCGAAGGGAAAAAAGAAGATTACAAAAGAGAATATGTAGATAGATGCTCAAAACCTGGGTATGAACATTTCCTGGTTATCCCGTCAACCAGGTTTATATCTGTTGGTACTCGACAAAGGGGTCAACCTCTTGCGTTCTCTCCCCAATACCAATTCCTCCTATGCCCTTGGGCCACTAGCTCCCAAAACAATCGTAAATCGAGAAGAAAAAAAGAAGGGATAGCCTCCCAGCCCGGCCGGTAAAACAGAAAAATCAACAAAAAGCTAGTGAAAAATAGGGAAAGTAACGAGTATTAAAAGAAATTCCCGAGTTAAAAACAAAACTTTTTTTCACCCCAAAACGAAGAAAGATAACCAACCCAAACGAATGTCGCCAAAGGAAATAACTAAAGGAAGACGAAAGAAAAGGAAAAAACGAAAGAAAAGACGGACCGCCCGCCCCAGAGTTTCCCAGACCCCATCTATGTATGTATATGAAAGAAAGAAAGAAAAAAGAAAAATTTTCCCCATCACCACTCGTCACCCGCACACCCAGCTGTCTACACGTCTGGATTGGCTACAAACAACCGCACGCCACTCATGGTCATTGTTCGCACCACATCTTCCTCGTTTAAACTACCTCTTCGCCTGACTGTATTGTCTCTTCTTGGGATTCCGGCGTTGTGGTAGCTGTGGTCGTAGGTATTCCGGTATTCAGATCGGCCTGGAGGACTGTGTGAGCCGGAATTCTTCGGCTTATTTCCTTCCTGGGACTCTGCTATTGAAGAGGTGGGGGAGTAGCTCGGTGTGCTCCCACTTGAGTTTCTATGCGGCCGCCCAACGTTATTTCCATAGATGGAGGATGTCCTATTTGTGTCTGAGCGTATTGAAGAACTGCGGTTTGTTTTTCGATGATTCGAATTCAGCGATGATTTACCGGATCCAGATCGCTTATTAAGACCGGGGCCAACAATGAATGTCTCATCCTCATCCTCGTCGCCGAGGACCTCTGTTGCTGACAACCGAGAAGGAATACCACTCGGGAGAGCCCCATTCGCAATACCAGGCTCAGTGCTTCCACCCCAAGCTTTCTTGACAGTTGAAGCTACGTGGTTGGTGCTTCGTCCTAATTTCCCACTTCGGCCAGCGTTTAGAGAAGATGCAGTGGACCCGCTTCCAGACCCAAGACCATGCTGGTTGTAGCCCGCGCTTAGATATGTCCCTGTCGACGATCCAACAACTTCCATAGCTGCGCGAAGCTTTGCAGCTCTCTGTGCGGCCACCAGGCGCGGATCTTCATATTGCGATTTGTCGCACCAAACTGTGGCCTTCTGCCGCCGGAGGTAAGTTACATAGGCGTTTGAAGATGTTGTTGCAATTGAGCTGGCGGTATGATTGCTCCCTGAGCGTCGCAGAGTGATCGGGACAGTTTGATCCATTCTTCCGCTGCTTGAGCTGTTGCTTGAGGTTGTAGAGTTTGAGCCTGAACGATGGCTCAAGTATGTGACGGTTTGAAAGTTATTTCCGTTGTTTGCGGCGTTGCTGTAGCCAGGGTTGTAGTTGGCGGGGTAGTTGTCAGCCGGTAAGGCGCCAGAAGAGGAGGTCCGGCGACGAGCGTGGGTGTTGTAGGAGCCTTGCGAAGAAGCAGACTGTGGGTCGTACGGATTTGGAGCTGGCGCGAGGTTGGGATTGATGGTGAGGCTCTTTGTTGAAGGTGAAGGGTAGAAGGGTGGGCCGAGGGGTCTTTGAGGGAACTGGTAGTGAGGAGCACGGTATTCAACCATCACGAGAGTTTCCGGTTTAGGGAATTTGGTGCGGGAGGGAACTTGTAATTTGTGCGCGAGGGGTGATAAGGGGCGGTGGTGGAGGGATGCGGCGCGATGCTGCAGCTCATACACAAAACAAGAGTTGAAGGAGGATCTGAGGCTGAATCGAATATGACCTGTGCAAGCTGATGGCTATTGATATGAACTGGCACCGGAAACAACGGCCTGGCATGTTAGTCTTAAGCATTTCGAAAGAGCCGGTACATCTCGTGGGGGATGGTGTGCAGATAAGGGAGGAAAACCCCCATTAAATCTTGATTCCAAATTTCACAACCAGATTCCAAGATTTAGATTGAAAAGATTGGGTAAGAAAAATGGCTGCAAAATACCTGATCCTAAAAAATTTGCCCCTCCCTTGCGTTTGGTTCCTGCGAATGGGCGATTTCTCGATTTTCTCCTTCTTCTTGAATTTTAGGTTCCACGGTAAAGATGTCGATCGAGCTCTGAAGGTTGTATTTAATTTCGATTAAATCCGGGGAAACTTTCACTCGCTTCGGGAATGCCTGCAATTCCGTTGAGTGCGAATTTTGGAAACTTTTTGAAGCTCAATGCTACCGAACCGCCGAGTATTGAGATCCGGACTTCGATGTGATCGTGGAGAAAAGCGTTGCGATCGTATCCGTTGCCTTGGGGGGGGGGAGGGGATGGTGGAAGTAAATAGCGCGGGGGTGCCTGTCCGTCCTGTGGGCGAGGGCCAGTGGGCCAGTGGGGCTGGCTTGGTTGATATTTGACTGACTCGCTTCGAGATTAAAAACCTATGCCGCTTCCGAGAAACAGGCCCTGAGCTCAAGTTCTTTCTAGTTCTCCAAAAAGCTGAGCCTCGTTTTGTCTTTCCTTTGCTTTTTTTTTCAGGGCTGGATGTCTGTCCCTTTCTTGCGGTTCCTTTCTTCCCTCAGGGAACAATTTCGATACTGTCTGTGACGAGTGATATGTGGATGGTGTTATATGTGTGTGCCTTCAGAAACACGGATAGATTTATCCTGGCGCTCGGAATGACGTTGTTTCTTCAGTAAGGAAAGGAGAGAGAGATATTGATTGATTGATTGCAGCAGAGTATCAGAGAGGAAAGATAGCGGACTCGAATGCCGAAGATTGTAACCTGCTGTAAAGTATGATGTATGATGTATGATGTATGATGTAGATTGGTAGATTGTATGTCCGTCCTAGGCAGTCTGCTGTCTTCCTCACTTTGTTTGTTTCCTCTCTCTCTCTCTCTCTCACGCAATCTCTCCTTTCTCCTTCCTCTCCTTGTCTTGCTTGTTGTTGCAGTATATCTTTTCCCAGTGACCTTTAGGAGTAACTTATGCCTAGCCGTCTGTGATTATTATGAGTTTTCTTTACTTTTCCTTTTTTCTTTCTTATCTTTTTAAGGACGCACCACCTTTTCTGAACTTGAACTGCTTTCTCGTGCTTTTCTCCAAGAGCGGACCGCGGGCGTATTATTTACCAGAGCGAGCCATGTGGTGAAGCCAGGACAGACGAAAGCGGGAGCTGCTGGGTGTGTGAAAAAGTGGCTCCCCTGCAGCTTAAAGCACTTACTGCCCTATCTACCACCTCTACCCAGCAAAGCACCTATTTGCCTACCCAGGTACCTACATTATGGGCTTTACTCCACTAGTTCGCGATAACCTCAACACGTACTTAGAGTTCTAGTCTTTTTTTTTTTTTTTTTGGTTGCCCTTTGACGCGAAGGCAGCAGGGTTAGAGAGACTGACAAGGAAGCCGTAATTGGGACCCGCGGATCGAGATTTAGGTAACTTCTTTGAGAGTCTTGGAGGGATGATGGACCTATGACGGCAGATGACGATGCAGTTGAATTGTGACTTCAAAGGTACTGGGTACTGGGTGTGCGTATGGGTGTGTAGTCTACATATCACACAGGTATTTTGCAAAAAAAAAAAAGAAGGTTACAGCAGGGTATTTTTCTTTTCCTTATTTACTGTTTTTGTTTTCTTATTTATTTTCTGCTGAAGGTGGGTGGGTAGTGGGAAGGGATTGATGGGGGGATACATGGCATATCGAGTTACAACTTCCATCCAGCATCTGTAACTTGATGTTCTGATACAGCATAACCACAAGCAACGAGCGAATTGCGTTCTTGCAGCAGCAGGTAGGCAGGCAAGCCGTGACAACAAGCGAGACAGCTTGATGGCAGGCAATCTTGCAGGGAAGAGTACTTTTACAGAATGGCTTGCAGTTAAAGCATCTAATCAGATAGAACAGGCGGTGAGGGTAAGGGTAGTAGCAGAAGCTACATACTGCCCCTTCTTTGTACTCTAGATATTACTCTAGAGACTTCTGAGTACTCTCCCGACCAGGCTCAACCCTACCCGCATAAGTGAAGTTTCCCACCCCCCCCTTCCTAGAGTCCTTGAGGGCTCGTGCATAGCATATGTAACGCCCACGCCGCCGTCGAGATGTTTGGCGAGATGCCTCACCTCAGAGGTGTCCATACATGGCATTATGCGTGCCACAATCTCTACCGTGCACATCCAATCTCGTCTACCTAAGCACACCTGCACGCAATTCAGCCTCGAAAAAAACTACTCGCCAGATGTCGTTTTCTCCACCCAATCAACTTACCCCTTCTTTTCAGCTCGCTCGGTTAGTTAGTAGAAGTAGGGTGAGTACTTGGTAAGTAGGGTGCTCAAGGAGGGACGAACGCGACACTGCCACAGGAGGTAATAGCGTAGGCGGTACCTCTTCTACTCAGAGTAAGAGTAGCAACAGCCTAACCTCATATAACCACCTACATGTACATACTGCGGTACTTTACTTCTCTAGAGTAACTGTCTGCCTACACATCTGAAAAGAGTGAAAGAACAGCCCATCGTATCTCGGAGATGAAGAAGACAGTTTTCCGTGTCCGGAAGGATATGTCTGTCTCAGCTCACTTTCTTCTTCTTGTCTTGTTGACTTTACTTTTGAGACTAGAAGTTGGGCAGGTAGATAGAGTACGTACACTCGCAACCCCAAACCGGCACTCACGCAATAGTGCGCAGACTGGGAGAAGGGAGAGAGATAAGGCTTGGTAACGTAAAGTGAATAACGTATCCCTCTCACCTCACTCTACTCACGATAATTTTTCGCATGTATGTGGCCAAACAATAATTTGCATGCTACAAGCACCTACATACAGCGTACATACAGGACAAGGTACCTTCCAAGGAAAACATACCGTCATATCACTCTACTCTACTCTTTATGCATGTACTTCTACCAAGTACTCCTCTACCCCAAGGGGAGGTATCCTAGAAAAGCGTTCCTGCTACCTCCCCGCCGATTGGTTCCCCCTCTTTTACTCCTTGTAGTTTACATCACCAACAGAGATAACCATAATCACAACAACCATAACCTAGGCATACTATACGTACCAACAAGAAGGTTTTTAGCGATTTTGTTTCCCTGTAATCCATCTCTATGTGGGTACAAGTAGGTACTACTACAATGCCGAGATTCCGCTGTGCACCCTCCCCCTCGTGGCGTATCAGGGTCGAGAGCGAGAAACCACGGCAGCGGGAGAAACACCGCCGCCTGCATCATCATCTTCCGTCCGTGGTTTTTTTAACCCCCTTGCCCGTTGTGAGTGAGAGAAACATAGAGCTACATAAAACTACTCATGCTCATTTCACTGAGACTTTGCCATACAGGTACCACAGACACCAATTCTACGATGTGGGGTGAATCGAGATGAAATAAACAAAAAAAAAACAGGCCCGTTAAATTGTTTTACCAGCCTGGTTCTTAGACGCTTTTCTTTGAACCCCACCCTCCTGGGTTGCAGCAGAATTTAGTACTTAGGAGCTCAGATATATAACAATCCCGAAAGAAATACCTGATTTTGTCTCTCACGATCCAACATCTCCCGTCGATTCGATGTGGGTTCCAGGTTTTTCTTTTCTTCTCTTTTCTTTTCTCGTGCAAATAAGCGAATATGCATGGCATGCTATTGACAGCTCAGTCTAAGCTACAGACAGTTCATATGGAGAATTTTTTTATTCCCCTACCTTCCGTCTAAGCTTGGGTGTTTTTGTTTCATTTGTTGTTTTATTTGTTTTCATTTAACTCTACGGAGTCTAGATCGACTCCAGGTCTAGTCTGCTCTGGATGTCTGTTTACCACTGACCAAAGTAAAGTAACGACATCATCGATAGTATCACCAGCGAGAGCCTATCGATAGCATCAGGCCTCCCTGGACGTGTCTGTCTACTATTACCTCTTCTCTCTCACCGCTCGTTATCAGCGGGGTAGACTCATGATCACTCACTCTGCTCCTCTACTGGCATACGAGCGATTACACAGAGCACACAATAAAAAATGTGCCGTAGCCGGCCGATGAGAGTGTGTGAGTTATTCCAAATTACCCACGTTTTTACATTTGCGCGGGAACATCCCAGCGTGTGAGGGAGGAGAATTTTATCATACGTTGACATGCGATGGAGTGGACGATGATCTACTCTGAACTCAGTGCCATTAGCTTCGACTGGCCAGCCGAACGTTGTGTCGCATCCACTCTTCTCCCAGCTAGCTAGCGGTGGGGCATCGTGCTGTTATTTGTTGGTAGGGGAGTCTAGGGGAGAAGGAGGGGCTAGGCAGAGAGAAAGCACTCTATCTAGACTCTGGTGGGGAGGAGGAGGTAAACAAACAATTCTCACTTCCCTACACCGCCCATCATTCGCCGCCTCGTGACGACGCGTGGGCAAGTCGCGATGGGACCCAGTTACGCGGTGGGATTTTCCTTGTCGCCATGAAGAGAGATCGACATGGGCAAAAGACTCAACTCCTCTCCATATCCCACCTCACCTCACAGCATACCTACCATGCTACCCTGCCCTACTACCTAGGCATCCTCCCCACGTGGAGCAAGGGAAATGGTGTTTTTCAGCTGGGAAAGGTCAGTAAAAACTCGGCTTCGGCCGGAACTGGAGAAAAAGGGCGCCGTCCCCGGGGCAGGCCCTATCACGGGCGTTTGTTAAAAAAATAACAAATAAAAAAGCTAAAATTCTCCCCACTGGAACGCCGTGCGCGCATGCGCCGGGGAGTTACTAGTTGCCTGTCGCCTCAAGAGGTAGTAAAGTAAAGTAACAGTACCTACAGTAGGGCAACGAGCAGCAACCAACTTTGCGGATCTGAAGAGGAGGCTCAACAATCCCACGATCGCAATTGGGGGCCGAATCGCGGAGCTACAGGGGAGAAGAAGAAAAAATAAGAATTTAGGCTCCGCGGCTTCGGTCAGTGGTGGTGGCTGCGCAGGAGACTCTACAGACTGGCGGTACCTATGGCGCGAGAAGGCCTAGAGGGCGGGTGTTTGTATGGGAATCTGAGAAAATGCCAGGGTTAGCCTAGGCGCTAGTACCATTATGGCCAATTTCTATAAGTTTGATTGGCCGATTCTTTAAAAAAACGCCGAAGTTTACACACCTACCCCCATAGCTTCTCGAGCCATACCTAGAAGGTAAAGCAAGCCACCAACCGAATCACCGTAGCCACCTGCAGCACGCCGCGCGCAGAAGAAAAGAACCTATAAAATCACTTCCCACCGGGTACCTCTGAGTACCCTACTCTACTCTAGGTATTCTACATAGACAAAGCACAATGGTGGCGAATTCTTACTCAGAAGAGGAGGTCGAGGATGAGTGCATGGCATCCACCCATCCATCCAGCGGACGAGTGCATTTGAAACTTGGAATTGATGGTAATGGACTCGTACTGTAAACCGTGCAGTAGACCGAGGAGAATACCTTGTGGAGTTCGTCCAAAAAAAAGTTTTATTTTTTTCATGAGAAAAATATTTCTCATCACTGCCCGGACTAAGACTACATGGTACTCTACTCTATAGTCTAGAGTTAGTTACTACATGTAGGTACATACTCCACCTACAGCACTGATCTTTGCAATTGACAAAGCCACATGTGCAGTTGGGATGATCGGATGAAAATATAACTACCTCTACTCTAGTTACCTGTCTACCTACTACTCTAGCTCATAGTAGGATGGGGATGACTTTAGAGTAATGTAGGTACCCCCTCAGCCCACCTTGTACTGACATTACTAGAGTAGGTACACAGATACTTGTACTCCATGTACCTGTAGGTACAGCCGTAGAGTAGTACCATGTACCTGTACCTACAGTACCTATGCGCGTCCCAGCCGGTGCGCTGTTGTCGTTCGTCCGTTCAGGAACCAGGCTGGGCAATTGCAGCTCTACCTGTAACCTAGATACCTTCTGGTAGGTATTCACAACGTGGTGTTGTTGCCCTATCACACCCCCGGGAAGATCCTACGTGTGCTGTCTAGAACACAGTCAGTTTTATTTGAAACCGATCTGGTTTGATCCGAGTGGATGGATGGCGGCGGTGGTTTTCTTGGCTGCACTGCACGTCAGGCTTAAAATCTTCTGTACCTTGCGCATGCCGTTGATCGAGGGTTGTCAGCCATCCATCGGGGCTGAATTGGTGTGAAGACGGTGATGTGTGTATGTGTGGAACGGTGGGTATGTCACTGTTTTGCATGGCGGGGTTGTTTAGGCGTTTTTGTGGGGTGACTGATATGATGGATGATGGATGGTGATGATGGGTAAGCTGCTAACATAAGGTGGTTCATTACTAGTAATATTGCTACTGTTTCGTTGCTAGAATTCTATTGGGCAATGATTGATCGGCGTGTAAAACAAAAAGCTACGGATGGTGATACAACTGCGAAGGATGACAGCAATTATTAACAGCCTTACACTTTCTCCAAAGCACTTCTGACACTTTCAATGATCTTCTTTCCATCATTGATCCTCTTCAAGCCCTCGTCCTCAATGGTTCCGTGTTCTTCGACCTTTACGCCCTCTCTCAGCCTGTCCCAGCCCCATCTCTCGGTCTTCGCAATGGCAACTCTTCCACGTTCCATCACAGCATCTTGGAATTGCCCTCTCTCCCTCTCCCATTTTGTCTGAAGTAGCCTAGCGCTATATACCACCGCTACCGCCGTAGCGCTCAAGCTCGAGTACACAGAAATCTCCAAAGCATACAACATCGCCGAGACTAGGGCTCCGCTCGCGGATAGCGAAGCACTCTTCAATAGAAGCCTATTCGCACTCGACTGCAGTACCGGCACCATATCTCTAACAATGTCGCCCACTGCCTGCGCAATAAACGGCGGGCTGTACTTAGGGCCGCCTATATACTTACCATCTCTCCTTCCCGCATCCAAATCCACATTAGTAGCAGTATTAGCATCAGAATTACCCAGATTGAATGCAAGTTCCTCCTCCACCGAAGTTGGGGCATGCGCGGGGGTCGTCCCCTTGCCGTCCCCGTGGTATCCGGCGCCCGAGAAGCGCCCGGCGAGAAACAGTAATTTCTTCTTTGAGTCTGTAAGAAACCCAGCGGCTAGCACGTCACGCGTGTTTGAGCTCACGTCGTCGGTTGCCCAGATAAGCTTCCACCACGCCAGGTCGTTCCATGGTTTAGTCTTGAAGGCTGCATCGAGGCCGCCTTGGAGCTCCTCATGCGCGTACTGAGACCAGGACTTGAGCGCGCGCGATAGGCTGCCGAATGTGTCTGCCTTGGGTGCGGACGAAGAGTTAGCAACAGAGGCTCTGTTTTCGATTGCTGTTTGTGCCGCGAGGATTTCGTCCTCCTCCTTGCGGAGCAACACTTCTGCCTCGGAAATGATCGAATAAGCAAGCTCCTTGACAACGGGCTTGACGGCCCCCTCTGGGCCGCTGTGAGTCCCGTCCGTGATCCATTTCGTGATCTTTTCGATGCCGCTCTGGAGCATCTCGCGCTGAAAGGTGGACGCATACAGTGTCGATTCCTCGAGCTGCGCAATTGCGTCCTCCGCGATCTTCAGATCCACGATTTTTACGTCACCTTCGTCGTGTGCAGCGGAGCTGAAGGCCGTGACTGGAAGCGACAGGGCCTTCAGTACCCGGCCGGTGCTGCTGCTACTGCATTTCTGATTAAGAAGTGTTGAGAGCCCGTCTGAACCCTCGCCAGCCCAGACGAGCGTCTTATGGACCGGGTATTCTATTACTCGAGCGCCAGGAATTTCCGTCGCCTTGAGAGCGACGACCGTGAGGTCTTCTGGGGGTGCATATGGCAGGGGCGCGAGAAGGATCTCGAGGGCAGAGGATCTAAGGAGCGGGGATGGCACTGAAAGTAGTGAAATTGGGGAACCGGTGGGGGTTGTGATATTTGTGGGAGGCCCATAGCTATTATCCAATTGATTTTTAACCCGTTAGACCAGCAGATCCATATAGACTAAGAGAAAGACAAAGACAAGGACAAGAAGAAAAAAATGATAATATTATTATTATAAAAAATTATATGTGATGGGCGCGCCGCAGGAAAAGGGAGAAAAGGAAAAACACAACCCTCTTCCTTGTGCGAATTGGAAAAATGGCCCGGTGTTGTTCTATTTTCTTTTCTTTTCTTTTATTTTTCGGCAGTTTAATTGAAACATACCGAATTAATAGGGCACGACCACCACCATCACCAGTAGCACCTCCAGCACCTCTCGAGGAAGAAGACGATGAAGAGCAAGCGGAAGACCAGGTAAGGATCTCCTTCACCCATTGTTCCTTCCCCACCTCCAGTTCCGTCGACAGTGGGTCGGCCAGTAGCACCGCGACGAGTCTCCCCTCCGACCCGCTCCGTCCAAGAACTGCATCACACTCCAGCGCACAATCAGTAATACAGTTTCCCCTACTCAATGCAAGATCTATCCTGCTTGAACCATGAACCGTGCAAAAAAACTCAATCTGAGCTGTCTGGTCTGTGGTATCGTATCTCCGAAACACAACAGCAAGGCAACAGGGCAACAAAGATCTCAGCTGAACTTGAGCTGCCGGCTGGCTCGCTGGCTGGATATGGGCGCGCGGGGGAGATACGCGGGGACGTGGGGATATGCAGAAACACGATAACCAAGCCAAATAATCAAATAATCAAATGAAAAAAATGAAAAAATGAAAAATGGAACTGGAAACTGGAACTAGAAATGATCATATCGAATCAACAGAAAGGAAGAAAAAAACTCTAAAACGCACCAGCAACCCTAACCCCCGCATCATGTTCCCCCGGCTGGTCGAGCAAGCCCCGCAACACAAGCCTTACTCTCCCCTCGCCCGCAAACCCAGCGCGCGCCAGGCCTACGAGCCCGTCTGCCACGACTGCGCGCGCGGTGGTGCTGGTAGTGGGCAGCGACGCCTTGATACTCGTTGACGATATCGAGCTGATGCCCCGGGCCCGGCTCCGGGCCCGGAGCTGTGGTTGTAGTAGTCGCCGAGCTGGCCTTGGGAAGAAGGAGATGCCGCCGCGGGCCCTGAGATGCGTGGAGAGGAGGTTGTAGGGGTGGTGGTGCGGCATTGCGTGCATCATCTACCGAACGAACCAGAAAGGACCAGGAAAGGGAGAGGTTGACACTGGAAATGGTTTCGGACGGAGCTTTTTTTTCTGAGAGAGAGAGGCGGGGGATCGCGACGATGACGTTATGAAACGAAGCTTTTTTGTGCCAAGAGGGATGGGCCGCAGGGATCGGGAGAAGATGCGGAGGGACATGGAACATCACTCGACGGTTAGAGTAGAGACCGTAGAGTAATAGAGTATCTCTCTATCGGGCACTTTGGGAGAGGAATGATATGTCTCGCCGGCCTGGATCTGGCTACATATGTGAGTTGCTTGCAGCATAAGTTACTCTGTCTCCCCACAAATGCACATATGAGACGAGAGCAGAATCCCGAAAAAACAACGTTCCTACCTACATACATATCTGCAGGCCACTCTTACAAATTGGGTTTTCTTACTCTATCTCTGCTGTTCTGCGGTGTGGGTGCGGGTGTGGGTGTGGTGGTGGATGTGGCGTGCATGCTTTTACTCTAAACATTTTTTGCCTTACGCTTGGTACTGATGTTCCAACAATTGCACTTTTTTCAATCGTTCGGGAAGTGCCATGGAGCGTACGACGGATCCGGTAGTGCCTGAAGGTTTTGGGTTTTGGGTTTTGGGTTTTGGGGGCTTCTGTAGCCGGCGAAGGGGACGTATCATTGACTGGCTGGGCACGGGAAATAGTAAGCTGCCCGGAGGAGAATTGAGTATTTGCGATGAGACTAGTGTAAACTATCCGACCCACTCCAAGGCATTGGATAGCGAGACAAATATGGGGAGACCTCTGACATCATTGGCGGTCGAAAACAGCGTTCAATGGCCTCCGAGGGGGGTTACCGATGGCGACATTGAATCAATTGCTTGCCTGCTTGATCCATATATCGTCGGGTTACGAGTTACAGATGGAAGTATTAGATATCGTGTTCAATTGCAAAATAGATAGACCTTATTTTCTTTCGTGAGTAGCACGTAATCCATCATGAGGTCCGGCATTTCCGGCGCGCGGTGTCTAACTCAATTGCAACCTACTCTACCACACCACCCTACTAAACTACACCTACGGAAAACTAGGTTGGGACGGAGGGGGGGGGGTGCAATTCCATTATTGTTAACAAATGCACGGACGTACAATACTCCGTCGGTGTGGATACCAATGATTGGGTTGTTCGTGGGGTAGAGAGAGGTACAGATATAGAACAGCACTTCCTGGTTGGGTTGAGATTCATCTGGTTGCAAAAGCCAAAGCCAAAACCATATCATTGATCGTCGGCACTACCCTAAGATGGGGGGCTGGACTTTTTTTTTTGCTTTTGCTCTTGGGGGACAGCGACAGCTAGACAGCAACAGCAAACTTTACAGCAAGTGCATGCAAACTTTACAGCGACCTAGAATAGGAAGGATATGTGCACATAGGTACCTACTCTACTCGGACATACACAGGAGGAGGCGCAAATGGATGGATTTGTGTAGACAGATAGTTACTCTACCTATCTTGGCCATCTGGGACAACAATTGCATCGTGCTGGAATTCCCCGATCTCCAGCTGGCCGTCGGGGCGTGAGGGATCACTGGACTGTGAATGAGTGCGTAATGCAAACTGGCTGCGCGATGCATATCAGAGCTATCAATGACCATTCAACCCGTCGGAGAAATACTCCAACAGTTCAGAATACTCGTTGTAGAAGTTACATAGCTTGCTAGTATGTAGCACGAGAGCACCAATCACATGTAGAACAGCCAGCTGAAAGAAACCCCACATGTTTACTTTTACTTATAATCACTCTGCTAATACATACCCCCCTCCACATGCCCTGGAAGCACCTCGTGTAACGTGAGTCGCAAGGAATAGCGAATGATCAAGATAAGGGGAACTGCACCACCGCGTATCTTGGGATGATCAATCTGGTGATACGAATCATGGATGCTTTAGGAATTGATATGCATCCCGGATTCCGCAATGGGACCTGAAACACAGCCAATGACTGCGCACAAACAACCCGAGCAGATAGAGCCCTTCATAGGATGTCACTCGAGCAAATATTGCAGCGGCGGATATGTCAACACGTCAAGAAGTGCCCATGACTTACCCCGCCTAGATCCCGCTCCAGGGCTACGTAGTTGAAGAGGCATGTACAGAACAGTGTCTGCTGGAAGAACATTCCACGAGGGTGTGGTGCGTGCGTGATGGATCGAGTTCTATCTCGCTGGCAGTTGTCGGGTTTGTAACCAACCCAGGAATATCGCACCCATTTCCCAATGCTGACACTGCTGGCTAGTGGCTGCACATTCCAGTACTGCCTAGTAGAGTATGTGAACGGGTGATATATCGTGACTCCCCACATCACCTCTCCCCCCACCAACCAACCCACCACCACCACCACCACCACCACCAGCCAACCAACCATCACCATCCCAACATTCAGTATCCAACATCCAATACGTTACCGCCCTCACCCTCCCTCTCCTCCCACCAAGCTGCTGTCGATCGCACACTACCTTCCTACCCTGCAGCTGATCACCATTCCTACCACACCCCTTGCTTCCCATTCCGAAGTCTCCCTCACACGTCATGTTTGCAACGGGTACTGTGTGGTTGTGTAAGCAAGCAAGCACGTTTAGTTGACAGGTCCTATCTGCTAGGTTTAATTAGAGATCTACAGCTAGTTCGGTTTGAACCGTACCGGGGAGGCGCAGATTTATCCGCTGGAGATAGGGATTGGCTTCCGGCCCGGGGTTATGTCGATCCCGGTAATATAGTCTATATACGAGCCCAGCAACGACGGCGAAGATGAGGAGGTTGGATGGAGGGAGTGTGGATAGGGTACCAGGTAAGGGGATATATGGAAATGGAAAACCCGGCCGCCGGCCGTCATTTCAGCTGAATGTGGTATGTTGATTACTGTATTATACATGTAGATTGATTGTATCTACGCTCGGCTGTAATCTGCGTATAAATGGGGCCGACCTCGCATGCATATATCTCCATCCCACCCGCCATATACGGTTTGGCCGTCGGGTAGATGTTTCTTCTCTGCGCCTGGGTTGTGTTGGCGGGCACAGTAAGGTGTAATCTATAAAGTAAGGTATATGAGAAAACGACTAGATGGTCATTGCCAGCTACCCACTGGTGGTATACCGTGTATGCGTGCATGCGTATACGTACATACATACAAGTAGATCTTGTTGCAACGCCGGAACGCGTGCTGCAGAAGGTTTGTAAACATCACGCCATGGTGGTTACGAGTCTGTTGGATATCCTAGAAGAGCTGAAGAGAGGTAGTGGGCTCGGGGACTCCGATGGGGTGAGAGGGCGAAAGGGGCGTGATGGTAAGTTTGAGTCGAGACAGAGGTCTCGAGCTTGTGCGCACAGAGGGAGAAGAGCAGTTTAGCAAATCAACAGTGCTGTTTATTCATCCTATACCCATCCCGTATTTCTAACGCTGCCGAAAAAGGAAGGACCCTTCCTCCTGATGCTGCACGAGTGCTGTAGCCGTGGCTCCAGATGATCTTCCTTCCTACACCTCGTGGCTGCCTGAAGAGATATGCTTTTCCTTCGGTTGGGTCGCTTCTGTTGAGAGAAGGGCGAGTCATAAAGCTTCAGTTTTATAGGAGCCCGAATAGGAAACCATTCCTCTTGACGGCGGGTCATTTAATATTCGACACTATGGCATTACTGCCTTGAACGACACATACCCAACAGTTTCTGCCGCTACTCACCGAGTGATGATACGTGATGGATAGGTGATGAGTGTATTCATAGGTTATCACTCGGTGTGTTTGCCCCCCCGTCGGGCTTACATCTTACAAAACTCTTTCCTTGCGTCAATTAATGCTTTGATTGACGTTAAATGACCCTATCTCTGGAGTTATTTGTGTGTACCGGGAAAAGAACAAGACCGGTGGATAAGTATTCTTCCACAGCATGCTTGGAAGGCGTGGGTTAGGGTTTTGGTATAGTGTAGACAAGGAGATCACCAAGACGAGGCATATATCTCCACAAGAAATATTACTAGATCTAGACCAAACTATAGCTAAGGACAGTAAGTCTAAGAACACCACCAAAGCACATATATGGGCAACCCTACGCCTCATTCCCCGAGAGCATACTTTCGCCACCCTTCCCCACTGGCTATAGCGTATTCAGAACTATCGGTTACGCCACATAAACCGGCCTGGACATTAGGGGAAAGGACTGTAGAGATTTTGAAAGCTAGCTAGCTGACCAGACTATAATCACAGAATGGCAAGACTACATGCAGCAATATATGCCTTCAGAACCATCGCCGTTAGCTGAGAAAACTTCCCTCAGCATGGCTTTTTGTATAAATTTATTGCAATTTTTCTAGCCCTCCTTGTGCGTAGGGTAGGTACAATGATATCGATTAGATCATCTCTGGCCCCATAATGGTATGCATAGCTTGAACTATCATCTTAGCCTCTCGCTTGAAAATTACTCTCTCTTTAATTCCTATCCCTGATCTCTCCCGGCAATTAGCTGATCATCGCAAGACCCCGCCGGATTCACGGCCAAGGATATATCGCCAGGGTCTAGCGCAACATTTCCAATTTTATAAAATAGTAGATAATGTTAACTAACTACAGGGGGCTAGCTACACAGCTTGCAATATTGCTTTCTAGATCTCATGTTCAGATTCTCCTCGAGCTCGGCCTTCGTAACCCTAAGCTTTACATATGGAGTTATGTTCAACTAAGACAAAAGAAATATTACCTCCCTTCATGTCCCATATCTGTGGCACCTTGGAAGAAGCTCGGTCCCTATATGAATGGAAATCTAATAGCTTTTCTTGCGTATGGGTTTCGTTTTGGGGTTTTAGTCATGATATGTCACTCGTTTTCATTGTGCTCAGTTCTTGAGATGATATCATGATATTGATTTTTGATTTTCTCAGTAGAATATATTAGTATTGATTTTTGCTTTTTTTGTGACAATATAATCATGATTGAATTGATTTTCCTTTTTT